ATGTGTAGCCAGCAGCCAGCATGAGCAGCCAGCATCCTCCACAACTAGACTGAAGAACAAAACAACAGCAACTTGTCTGTTCCCCTTCCCCCAATTCCCCAATAAAAATCTTTAAAAAAAAAAAAATAGAATGGTGGCTGCCAGGGACCAGGGGAGGCGGGAATGGGGAGTTACGTTTTTTAAATTTTATTTTATTGGGGAACAGCCATGGTCACTGGTTACACATTGCTTTCATGCTACAATGGCATAGTTGACTCTTTTAGGGAGGGCACAGCTCACAGTGGCCCGCCCATGTGGGAATCGAACCAGCAACCTTGGTGTTATCAGCACCACGCTCTAAACAACTGAGCTCACCGGTCACCCTGGGTACAGAGTTTGTCTGCAAAGACGAAAACTTTCTGGAGATGGATGGTGGTGATGATTGCACAACAGTGTGAGTGTGCTCAATGCCGCCCAACTGCACACCTAAATGTGGTAAATTTTACGTTGTGCATATTTTATCAATAAAAAAAATGAGTGTACAGCAGTTAGAAACACACTGTTTAGCGAAAAGTAGTCAGGCAGCTTGCAGAGGCAGAGGCAGAGCTGGTAATCGGGGCCAGATGTGGCCAGTCGTGGCCAACGCCACTACCCAGAGGACAAGCTCCGTAGGCACTGAGGGTGGAAAGAACGTCAAAACATGCATCAGCGTTTTCAACCACATCCTGCACACAGTGACAGGGACGCCAAGCATAGCACGTCCATGAGTAAAAGCTATGGTGCATACTACATAAGCAAGCTGCTGGAGAGATACAAATGGATTACAAAACATCTCCCATCCTTCTGCCCTGTTTCAGCATCACCGATGTGACAGATAAATTCGACCTACTCTCAGTTCTATTCTTCGGCCACTCCGCTGCTTCTCACTCACGAGACAACTTAAAGGCCCCACTATGGTGTTCACTGGAAACATGTTCAGAGTGCTTGCCAAGGCCCTGAGTACAGACATGGTGACACATCCATTCTCGTGTTGGCCTCTTTTCCAAAAGGTGACCTCTAAGACCGAGGGCTGCACAACAATAAGTGATAAACTGGTTCTCAGTACTAACAACAATCCTCTCAGTCAGCTCTAAGACCCGGCTTGGAAAAAGATTCTCATCACCAAATTCGGATTAGGAAACAACAGGAAGAAACAACCGTGTTGACACTGCTAATAATTTGAGTTTTAAGAGAAAAGATGAAGGTGAAGATTATGAGCCTCTCTATCCAGATTTTGCCCTGATGGGATCATTGAGCTATTAGCCAAATACACAGGATTGGCAACTGGCTAGATGGGTAGGGAGGAAGAGTGCAAGATGATTCAGAAATTTTGTGTAGCGAGTAGCTGGAAATGAAGAAAAGAGAGAACTAGCCATTAAATAGCCACATCTTTTGGAAGGATAAATTACCAAAACACACTTTCTGGCTCTGACTGCATTCATGGTTCTTTAGCTAAAAACCAAGTTAGTCTTTTGTTCATGTTGTGTCCGTGACAAGCTGATCATTCACCATTCAAAGCTGTGGTGACCTGCAGTGCACATGGGACATGGGATAACAGACATTATCCCACTTCAGATGCAATGCCAGGCCCCCCACCCCCGAACCCTGCTGCAAAGTTATTTTTCATTCCTGCCCTGAGGCCTGGGACCCCTTGTCATTACCTAAACCACACCCACGCAGTGTTCCCATCAGTCTGAAAATAGAGTGGTACATATTTTCAGCGGAGAGGGAGCTGCCTCTTGTTTTTGGCAGGGTATCTGCTACTGTTTATATCTGCACATCCTAATAATACAGCTCATGGTTACACCCAGGCTTCCCAGCCGTTGCCATTCTTTACTTCCTCTGCAACTGTCTCAGGAGAGCCAGCCCGAGTCCAAGGCTGAACAAAAGGAGACAGTACCCCATCGTCCGTCTGGACGTGGACAGCCAACACTTGAGCCAAAGTCCGTTCAGAGAATCAGATTGCAACTGAGCAGATATGTGGAGCTGCCTTAAATCCCTAGCCTCCTTGTGTCTTTTGTTTGATCCAATGTGGAAGTCTCTTAGAGCAAGTCAACTTTTAAAGCATGTATATTTTTCTGAAAAGTAACACTAGTTAAAGACACACTACTCCTTCTGATGAGGTCACGTGGCCTGCTCAAACATCATGGATGGGGAGGAGGTGGTTCCCCTCTGTATAGCATTTCATTCAGTGCACACAAAACATGGCTGCAAATCTTTTAACCATTCCTCTGACACTCTGAATCACTCGTTACA